GGTTGAGAGAGATGGGAAAGTCCAACTCAGTACGTGGGGTAGCGGATACCCAGCTGTACTGACGGTCTTGGGGTTTGCTGGCGGATTCAACTCTGGACTCGGGCAGGCGAGTTGAGTGAAAGGCGAACTTCCGCCATCCTGATCGATCTTAACTCGTGCTGGCGAGCCGACCGTAAGGCGAACCTAGAATCAAGCATATCCGATGTCTATGCGATTTAGGCCCGTGCCAGAGAACCGAGCGTGCGAGCTCTTCTCGCAGGCGAATTTCCTGTAAGCCTATAGAGGTATTTTTTTTTACCGTCTACACACTTATGTAAGCATCATCTCCATTTGGAGTCTAAGGTCGAGGAATGCAAGGGGCTTTTAGGCCGTGACATCACCATTTTCAATGCATTTGAGGCCACCCTACGTGCTATGGGGCAATGGATGTGTGGTATGTGCTTGAGAATCTGTGCTCTTAGTAAACCTTGTAAGCATGACAGGGGACTGTCTATTCAACCACCTTCAGAGGACGACGAGGGCAATGCGGGGTGTGCCATTATGGGTATCACTCGGCCTTGCGCCCCTCCTATCCTCGAGTTTGTGTCACCTAACCCCTCCTTGGGTCCACAGCATTGTAAACTTGACAGTAGTACTCTTGAAAGGGGTATCACTCGGCCTTACGCCCCTCCTATCCTCGAGTTTGTGTCACCTAACCCCTCCTTGGGTCCACAGCATTGTAAACTTGACAGTAGTACTCTTGAAAGGGTGTTTAATTTGGGTTTTCGAACGGTTAAAAGTGTTCCCCCATCTTGTAGGTTGGCGTCCTCGGCTGCCCTTAAAGCCTCGCTCTTTGGGGTGTCCTCCAACCCGTTGTCTTGTGATGCTTGGGTACGGCTTTTGATCTTGCTGTGTTGCACTTTAAGGGTTATTAAAACCCATGATCGCAAGAGTTCGAGGTCAGGCAACAGAAAGGCTCTTCAACAACGACATATCTTGGAGGCATTGTCCACCTGAGGTGAGGTTGGAGGCCCCATAAACTCCTTGACACCATGTTTAAAGAGCTCCCTTCCCCCCCCCTCTGCCCGAATTGACGACCCCGGTGCTCATCCAACTGCTAACAATGTTAAACAGTGTTTGAGGAAGATATCGGACGGGCACTATTCAGCGGCCGTGAAGGTACTCACGTCATCGGGGGTTGCTCTGGACACTCCGCAGACGCGTCAATCTCTTGAGGACAAACACCCTTCGGCGCCTCCTCCGGTGTTGCCAGCTTTTGGGTATGACCAAGAGCTACTCTTTGTGGACTGTGGGGAGGTTCTCCATTGCATGCGGTCCTTCCCCTAAGGGGACCTCTTGTGGCTGTGATGGCCTTCGAGCCCAAAACTTGTTAGATGCACTTTGTGGTCCAGAGTCCACTATTGCTAACGACCTTCTCGCGGCTTTCACTCCAGTGGTTTATTTGTGGTTGCAAGGGCGTTGTCCGGTCTCCTTGGCGGAGTTTATTGCTAGTGCTCCCCTCACTCAGTTGTTGAAGAGTGATGGAGGCATTAGGCCGATTGCTGTAGGTACCATTTGGAGGCATCTCGTCTCTAAAGTGGCCATGAAGAAGGTAGGGAAGGACATGGCAAGTTATTTGGGAGATTTCCAGTTTGGGGTGGGAGTGTCAGGAGGGGCAGAAGCAATTTTGCATGCGGTTAATAGGTTCGTTGATGTTCACCATGCGGAGGACTCGCTCTCCATGCTTTTGGTCGACTTCCGGAATGCATTTAACTTGGTCGACATGAGTAGTATGTTGCGGGAAGTGCGCCTTAAGTGTTCGGCGATCTCTCCTTGGGTGGAATTTCTATATGTGCAGCCCGCTAGACTGTATTTAGGGGTGGATTTCATTTGGCCTGCTCGGGGGATCCAGTAGGGGGATCCGTTAAGGCCTCTATTGTGCGCGCTCACGCTTCACCCGTTGATTCTTCGAGTGCAGGAAGAGTGCAAGTTGGCTCTTCATGCTTGGTACTTGGACGATGGGTCCTTGGTCGGGGATACTTTGGAGATTGCTAAGGCATATGAGGTGCTTGAGACTGAAGGCCCAAGGCTCGGGTTGGACCTCAATGTCACCAAAACTGAATTATTCTGGCCCTCACCGGATCCTAGGAGTTTGCTGGAGGGCCTTTTTCCCTTGGATATCAGTCGTCCTTGTGATGGAGTAAGGCGTTTAGGTGGAGCAGTTAGCATAGACGAGGGGTTTGTTAGTGGGTTAGCAGTGAAGAGGGTGGCAAAGGCGACTCAGTTAATGGAAGCGTTGGACCAACTTAGTGATCCACAGTGCGAGCTCGTCCTTTTGAGGGCTTGTGCGGGTTTGTCCAAGTTGTATTTCACCTTGAGGGCTTGCCCGCCGCAGCTCTTTGCTCAGGCGGCAACCCAGTTTGATATTGCACTTCGGAGGTCAGTCGAGAGCATTGTCACATCCGAAGGCCCAGGCTTCGGGATCTCCAATGGAGGCTGACCTCTTTACCTATCAAGGCGGGCGGGTTGGAGGTCTATGCAGCGGCAGATGCCATACAGTTTTCCTTTGTGGCCTCTCGGATTCACTCCATCGAGCTCCAAGACCACATTTTGAGAGGTTGTGGTGAGGTTTCTTTAGGTGAGCATTTTACTTCCGTCCGGGCCTTTCTTCAAGCAAAGCTGCTTGAGGTTGACCTTCTTCAAATCACCACTAAAGCGTCTTGTCCCCCTAAAACCAATGCATTACTTGGCAGACATCTTTTATGGTGGCGTTTGTAGAGATCTATCGACGAAGTTTGACCTGTCAGAGAGGCAGATTGCGATTGTTGAGTGCATGCGGGCAAAGCACGCCCATAATTTCTTGTTGGCCACGCCTATTGAGGGATTAGGGCAGTGTATGATTTCGGGGGAGTACCAAGTCATCCTTAGGTATAGGTTCTTGGTTCCTTTGTTCGTGGAGGGGACAGTGTGCCCAGTTTGTCGTAGGACGCATATAGATGCTTTTGGAGAGCATGCCATCCATTGCCAGAAGCAGCCGGGGTTCAAGTACATGCACGACTTAGTCAGAGATATCTTGTATGATATCCTTCAAAGAGAAGGGATCCCATCAAAGAAGGAAGCACCGGTCAACTTCCTCACTCCTCCAGGAGAGACTAGATCCACTCTAAGGCCGGCAGACGTTCTTGTCTACAATTGGAGGCGGGGGGAAGCACGCTTGTGTTGATCTTACAAGGGTATCTCTGTTGGTGGGGTTTGGTAATGGAGAGTTCAAGGTTGGACATGCAGGAAAATGTGGGCAAACATGATCAAGCTTGCAAGGACAACCACCACAACTTCATCCCGTTCGCTTTCGATACGTTTGGTTTCCTTGCAGCTGATGCAGTGGAGTTTCTCAGAAGGGTACAGAAATTCATGAATAAGAATGCAGTGACAGCAGGGTCCGCTGAGTACGTGTTTCGTAGGTTGGGTTTTGCAATTCAGAAAGGATTAGCGGCGCAGCTTGTTGCCCGCTTGTCATCATCACATGTATAATATTTTTATCTTGAGATATATATAAAAAAAGAAGAAAGGATTAAAAAATAGTAATAAAAATAAAATTTAGAAATATTTAAAAATAAAAAACTAAAAATTCAAATTAATTTCAGGAATTCCAAAGCTGAAAAGTTTAAATAAAAATAATTTTTGAATTATTTTAAAAAAATAAAATTATAAATTAATTTTGGTAATCATTAATCACATAATATGTATTTTTAGTAAATTTTGAAGTTAATGTATTTCAAAATTGGTATTAAATTTGAGAATTGGAACATAATCAAATTTGCTAATTTAATTAAAGCTAAATTTTTTCTAATGAATTATTAAAAATATGAATCTCCTATACATAAATTTGGTAAGTTGAATTTGGAAGCATAAGTTTGGTAATTTAAATTTTTTTTTTGAAATTTCGGTGTTAGTTAATCTCAAACATAGTATTAAATTTGGTACAAAAATAAATTTTCATAAATATCTAAAAAATCCCAAAATTCATATTAATATCAGAAATTTCAAAATCAAGAAAATTATAATAAAAAATAAAAATTTAAGTATATTTTAAAAAGGCTAAAAAATCAATTTAATTTCAGAAATTCTAAAACTAAAAAAGTCGAATAAAACTAAACTTTAAATAAGATTTAAATGTAAAAAAAGAAAATCAAATTAATTTTGTTATTCATTGATATTATAATTACTATTTTTAAAAAAAATTAAAAAAATTAATTTATTTTAAAATTAGTATTAAATTTAGGATAATTTCAAAAATCGGAACATGATGTAAATTTTGTAATTTAATTAAAGTTTGATTTGAAAAAAAAAATTAAAAATAAAATATTTTGATGAATAAATCTCTAATTCAAAAAGGTAATATATTATGTTTTAATGTATTCGGATAATAAGATAAATTTTAATTCAATATCTTTTAGTCTAATATATTCAATAAATCAAGTCTAAAAATTTCAATCAAAATCTACTCTTCTATACTTAAAAGAGGATCCAAATATTTTAATGTTCATGTTATATTAAATAATGCAGTGAATTACTGTAGCATAAATAGTAAACCATTGTATCCAAGAGGAGTAAATTTATTGTTTGTGATACAGTGTTTGCTCTGTCATGAATGGTATACTTTTAGGTATCGAGCAGTAGGTATGATTTCTAATTTTAAGCTTATAATAATCAAATTAAATGTATTAAACCTTAGAAGGAGGCAGGTTCAAAATGCAATGCTTAGATAAAAAAAAACAGGGGGTAGTGTTTTGCCCGCGGTACACAGTAGTATGCATCAAATTATGATAAATCCTCTTGTCCCTCCCTTTTAAGTTTAAGCCGTTGCCAAACATGGCCCGAAGCGTTAGGGGCTGCAAAAAACGTTTTTCCGTCCCAGAGACAACAAATCCAGTTGGGCTTTGGCCACATCCAAGCAGGCCTGGCCGAGAAATAAGGGGCCCAACTCAACTGCCGCTCAGACTACTAAATCCCCATTATTATCATCCACGCCATCATCTAAATTTAGCCCTAATTAAAGACCGAACGCCTCCCAAATTTCTTCCTCTCGGTCGTCCAGCGATGCAGTTCTGGGGTAATCCCCCACTCCTCTCATCATATTTTTTGTTAAAATACTTGCAATTGTCATCGAATCGATTTCTGCTAGGGTTTCTTTCGAAGGATTTCTCTAGGTTTTTGCTTATTATTCTTTTTAGGGTTTCAGACTTTGTAACGCGGTTGGCTAATTCTCTTTAATGGGGTACTCTAGATTTTACGTGCGTAGACGTTTTAGTTTCAGATTGATCACGCTCTGGAATATAGGATTGCAGTTAGATTTGATTTGTTTGCGACCTTAAATTCTCTTGTATCTTCCACAATTTAACAAAAGAAGACGGTAAAGTCAATCTGTCTATTTTTAAAATTTTTTATTCATGGTTACATTTTTTTTCGTATTATAATAGATGCTGAAGTGAAGCCCGGAGGATCGTATAAGGTCAAACCGGAGTACTATAGTTATTTTCGCATCACAGAGGTGAATGCTGCTCTTGATTTTATCACGGGATGAGTAGATAATAAGATCACATTAATTATTGCCTTACCCAATTCCATCTATTATAGGCTGTGCTTGCAGTATCAGATGTCAATAAAGTAAAATCAAAGGGGGGGAAAAAGGACAAGCCTGTCTATGTCTACATGAAATTTAAGGATGAAAAGCGATGCCTTGGTTCCCTTTCTCCGATGACATCCATCAAGATGGAGTTGGACTTGTATTGCCACGTGGAAGTTGAGTTATGCCACTCCTCTAAGGATACTAGTGTATACTTTTACGGTCTTCACGTCGGTCCGAGGTACGAATATCCTTTACCATATGTCCTTCATTTGCTTCCCGCATCGATAATGTATGATGTTTTTGTAATTTTTTAAAACTTGTCTTTCCTTAACTCTTCCCACGGCATCCGATGATGGTGGATACAATGACTTTCCATTTACTGATACCGGTGAGGAAATTTATTTGTTTGTTTACAAATTCTTTACCGTGGTGTACTTTTCTTTTCAAGTCTCATCATATTTTGTGTTGGCTTTCTAGAGAGCGAAGAAGAATCTTCCGAAGAGGAAATAGAACCGATCCATGGTACATTATTCTATTCAGTATTCATATTAATATGACATCTATTTTGATTAGGTGCTATATACTATTTGTATTCTGATCTTTTAGCTGTATGTGTCTTGATCGGATCCAGAGGGTGGGCACTGGAGTTATTTACGCTATTGGAGTAATTTCCTCTCCCTCTCTCTTGTTCATCTAAGTTTGCGATTTTTCTTTGAGATGGATTGAACTATGCTAGGGTTTCCGATTCTGTCTTATGAACTCGACTGCTTCTCTAGTTTCTTGCTTATGCTTAGGGTGTTTTGTAACAGAAATCGTCTACTTCTCTTGAAGAGGGTTATCTTTTTCCTAAAGCTTTTATAGATTTTACGTTCACAGGCGTTGCATTATAGAGTAGCTCTTTTATTGTGCTTGTTGTTTGCTATTGCAACAATTTCTTACTGACTTGATCCTTCTTGTTTCCCGATTGATTGAGTCATTTGGTGCCTGAATGGATTTCTATTGAGGGTTCAGACTTCTGGTTCATGTTCTCGAAGTTGGGGCTTGGTTTTTATCTAATGCAGCTTGATTCTATTTGTTTGAAGCTTAAATCTTTTACATCTTCACAATTTAACAAAGAGGATAAAATTAATCTATCTATTTTTCTGATTTCTTTGTTACTATTTTCAGGTGCCAAAGTCAATCCTGGAGATCCTTTTAAATGCAAACCTAAAGCAAATAGCATTTTGCACCTTTCACAGGTGAATTCTGCTTTTGATTCTCCTTTCACAGGTTAGATTATCTCACATGTGCCTGGCATCGTCTAATGTAGGCTGCATTCAAACCTGAAGAAGATGATAAGCCTATCTATATCTATGTGAGTGCTGATGGGTTTGAGAAGGAACTTCTTGGAACTCTTTCAGAAAGTGGATGTCAACAAATACCATTTAACTTACATTTTGACAAAGAATTTGAGTTATCTCACAACTCCAACAAAGCCAGTGTCTATTTTTTGGGTCATGAATTTGCTCGGTCAGGGAGATATCCTTTATCACATCCTTCATTTGCTTTCTGCATCAAAAGTTTATATTGTTTTTTAAAGTTTAGATTGTCCTTGACTGTTTCTGCCTCTATTCCACATTCCACAATGATTCTGGTGAGGAATTTTATTTAATGTTAATTTGATATCTCTCTGATTAGGTGCTATATACAATTTGTATTCTGATTTTTAACTACATGCCTCGCTTTGATCCAGGGGCGGAGCCGTGGAAAGATATGCATTATTGGAGTAATGTTTTTTCTCTTGTTCATTGAGAGTGAATTGTATTCTGTCTGGGTTTCAGATTCTACCTCATGTGCTCAAATATTTCTCTAGTTTTTCTTTTCTATTAGGGTTTCAGATTTTGTAACACGATTGTCTAATTTCTCAAGCTCTTCCTTCACTTTCTTTTTGAAAGTTTTTCTGAATTCTACATTCATAGACATTTTGATATAGAATATCTCTTTGATCATGCTTGTTTGTGGCAAATGATGTCACTTTTACTTTCTTGATCTGTGTTTTCTTTAATAGAAATGAGTCTTTTGGTGCTTGAATGGACTTATATTATTTTTGGGGTTGTAGACTCTAGTTCATGTTCTGGAATTCAGGCTTGGGCATTTGTCCTATGATTCTATATGTCTGAACCCTAAAATCTCTTATATCTTCCACAATTTAACAAAGAGGGTAAATTTAATCTATCTTTACTATTACAGGTGTCAAAGTAGATCCCGGATGTTCTCGTACAGTCACATGTGAAGTCAGTACAGTTGTTCAACTTATACATGTGAGTTCTGCCCTTGATTTGTATATCAAAGATTGATTAGGTGATCTCACATGCCTTACCTCCCATCTTTCTTATGTAGGCTTCACTCGAAAATCCAGGTGACAAAGAATACGTGGGTGACGAAGACGTGCTTATCTATTTGAAATTTGCGTGGTTTCCCAAGTCAGTTATTGGAAGTCTTTCTGCAATGAAATGCACCCAGATACACTTTAACTTACCTTTCGAACAAGATATTGAGTTATCTCACTCCTCCAAGAATGCTAGCGTCTGTTTTTTGGGTTATGTAGTAGGTCAACAAGGTGAATATCCTTTATCATGTACTGCTTGCTTTACGCACAGGAGTTTATGATGGTTAAATTTTATATTGTCTTTCCTCGACTGTTTCTAGTCTCATCCTATTTCATTTTGGCTTCCAGACCGTGAATTGGGCGAGGTAGAAGTTCCTGTTGTTCGAAATGGAAATGGTACCTCAATCTATTCATGTCTGATATCTATTGTGATTAGGTGCTATATACAGGTTGTATTCCGATTTTTTAACTGGAAGTTGCTGTGGACTAGTAGCTTACTTTCTTTAACCTGTCATCTCTGGACTATCCATTATGATGATAGAAACATGCTATTCTTTGACCTTCATAGTTCATATGCAAGACTGTATTTTTCTTAACTTGGATTGTTTTTGACATAAAAATTTGTATTATTTTGATTGGAGTCATAGCTGTGAAGCATTCAATTTTGTAGCAAATATTGGACATAATTTTTTGTTCAGCTGCTCATGTGAAACGACTGAGTGTGAATTGTGTGTTATAGAGATACCTTAAAGCTTTAGCAGTTTTTTTGCTATTCTATGCCCACTTGATTCATAAATAGCATTATAGCAACGCTTGTTAAACTTTCCTGCTCTTATGCATCAAGAGTTGGATGTTTAAATTTTATATTGTCTTTCCTGGACTGTTTCAAGTCTCTCATCCTATTTAATTTTGGCTTTCAGACCGTGAATTGGGCGATGTAGAAGTTCCAATTGTTCGAAATGGAAATGGTACCTCAATCTATTCATGTCAGATATCTATTGTGATTAGCTGCTATATAACTGCATGTTGCTTTGGACTAGAAGCTTAATTTCTCTAACTTGTCGTCTTTACACTACCCATTGTTGTGTTAATTGCGAAATTTCTTTTCAATTGTGCCATTCTTTTTGACATTCATATGCAAGAGTATATTGTTCTTGATCTGGATTTATTTTTGTAATTAGAACTTGTATTGTTTTGGTTAAGGCCATAACCGTGAAGTGTCCAATTTTCTAGGCAGATATTGGACATAATTTTTTATACAAGTGATTTGTGAAACAACAGCGTGTGAATTGTGCTCTATAAATATACCCCAAGGCTTTAGCACTTTTTTGCTATTCTGTGCCTACTTGATTTACAAATAGCAATGCTTGTTAAACTTTCCTGCTCTTCGAACCTTGTGCAAATGTCGTGTTCTTCATTTAGAAAAACAACAAATAGTAAATAGTAATAGAATCATTTTTTAAAAGTTTAATTGAAATTCCTTATTAATGAGACGACATGAACCTAGTTACAACTAGTTAGATATCTTTTGATGGAGATAATTTACAGATCATGTTTGTGTAAAAGTTATTCATTAATCACTGAAGAACAATGTAGTTAAATCCTTGTGCTTATTTCATGGTTATTAAAGCATTGAGTAGTTCTTATCATTGGCTATAGTTTATCCAAACTAGGAACTTGAGTATTGCTGGAATGCTTCATGAACACTTTTTGATAATGCACACAACAATTATAAGTGATGTACAGACACCATGTCTTACTGCCTGCTTCAATATTTTATCGTAAAGCATTCTATCTCTTGTTCAGTATTCTATGTGCCTTCGAGTTCTGTGTTACTACTTAAGTCATATTTATTTGTTTATGACTATTATGGTGCTTTCTTTGTTTCTTTTGTGAAGTTATGAATTCTTGTTAATGTTGGCCCCTCCCATGTTTTTGTTTTTCATAAGTTTGATTTATTCTTGAATCTTTTTGATAGGCGCACATGTGGTCAAGCAAGAACAAGGAGAAATGAGTGCAGGAAAGGCTGATGTGGACAAAGAGGAATATTCAACTTCTAAAAAGGCAACAAAACATGAAGCGGCTACAGTTGATGAGCCGATGGTAGAGGAGGATGATGACAAGGATGATTCTGATAAAGAATCTGATGATGACAAGGTGTGGGCGCCTCTCTCTCTCTATATATGTGTGTGTGTGTGTGGGGGGGGGGGG